TGACTAATGCTTACAGTTGCATAAACACTACCATCATCAAAATATAAATTTCCATCACCCTAAAAATTCCCTCATGCCCTTTGGGAGTCAACCCCTCCCTCTACCTCCAGCCTCTGGAAATCACCGCCGTGTTTCTGCCCCTGTCGTTTTGCCTTTTCTCTCGAGTCTTATACATGGAATCATACGAGGCAGGCCTTCGTTAACATCCTTGTTTCAACTACAACATGCGCCCTGCCTGACTCTCTCTTAGCACATCAGTCTTTGCCTTTTTTTCCCCAGAATACTTAACGTTATCTGAACATAAGCTGTTGTCATTTTTGATGATTGTCTGTCAGTGGAATGCAGGCTCCCGCTAGAATGTGAGTGCAGGCGCCTCGCCTCGTTTGCTGCTTCATCTCTGGGGTGCAGACCGCTGCCTGCCACCTCGCAGGTGTTCAGGAAGTATTTGCTGAACGAGCCACCAAATGAACGAGGACGTTGGAACTTCCCCAAACCCTCTCCACATTCAGACGGACCTCATGAATAAGAGATGATCCTCGCCCCACCCTCCCCCCAAATGTGTCAATCCAAGCTTCGCTGTGGTGCCAAAGTAGATGGTTTAGCTGCAAGTAACACTATTAGAAGTAGTTAGGCTGATTGAGACTATAAATTGTCTTTTAAAGCCACTCCCTGGGAGATTAGATCACCTAGAATAGAGCTGGTCGGATGCGAGTAAAATGGACACAATGATAGTGACTATTTCCTAAGGTTGTTTTGAGGATTAAATGACTTAATTGAATGCAGGTGAAGTGTTCAGCACAGTGCTTCTCAATGGGGAGTATTTTGCCTCCGCAGGGACATCGGGTGGTGTCCGGAGACACTTTGTTGTGGTGGTTGTTGTCAAAACCAGGGCAGGGTTGTTACTGGCATCTGCTGCTAAACACTCTGCAATGCACAGGACAGTCCCCTCCACACAGAGAACTATCTAGCCCCAAATGTCAGTAGTGCCACCTGTGAGTTAGAGCAGTGCCTGGTACATAGTAAAACTACATTTGTGTTTGCTACTATTATTTTTAGGCCCTGGCTGGGTGGCTCAGTTGGTTGGAGCATTGTCTGTACACCAAAAGGTTGAGGGTTCAATTCCTGGTCAGGGCACATTGCTAGGTTTCAGGTTCGATCCCTGGCTGGGGAGCATTCCGGAGGCAACCAATTGATGGGTCTCTCTCACATCAATGTTTCTCTCTCTCTCTCTCCCTCTTTCTTTCTTTCCTTTCTTCTCTCTCTAAAAATCAATAACACAAAAACATGACAACTTAGGGAAAATGTTTGCAACATATATGGCAAATGATACATATTCCCAATAGAGGGAAAAGGCCTATAAAAGCAGCAACAAGGATGTGAGTGCTCTAATAAAAGACATGAGCAGGCAATTCACAAGAGAAGAAATTCAGATTTCCAGTAAATATGAAAAGTGTTCAGATTTACTAGCGATAAAAAAATGCAAATTAAAACACAAATTATTTTTTTTCCTTTCAAATTGACAAAGGTTAAAAGAATAAAATGGCGAGTGTTGAAGTTTGGTGATAAATGGACACTCTCATACACAGTATGCTGACAGAGGTTTTCTGGGAGACAGTTGTCTATGTGAATCAACTACTTCAAATATCCTCATACTGTTTGCCTCAGTAATTCTACTCTACAATCAGACTCAAAGATGTTTGTATGTGAATATTCACATGCGGTGCTATATAAAAAGCTGAAAATGACATAATTGGAGTATGGTTAAATGAACTATGTTGTATCTATGGACCATTAAAAAATCAAATGAAGGTTTTAGAAATAACAATCTGCAGAGTTGTCATGTTTGATTGATGGAGAGGTGACGGTACAGATATATGAAAGAAGCGGGAGCACAGATGCAAGGAGGGACACCTAAGGAAGAGTGACAACAGCAGGGAGAACCCCTGTGTACATCTCCAGCTCTGGGAGCCGCCTTAGCTTCCCATAGTTCCTCAGGGCAAATATGCACAGTAAGTTCCAACAGTCACACACTGGAAGGTTTAGAGCTTGGCACATCTCTGTCCTTCTTAACATATAAATCAAGAAATTGGCTGTTGAAGAAAATTTCTTACACACCACTAGATGCATGTGTACTCCAGGTTTGTTTGTTTCTAACCTTCTGTTGCTTCAGTTCTATCTTCAAAATAAAATTGAAAGGTAAATAAAACCAAGAGTTAGCACAACCTGCCCAGAGACATGGAACCATGAACAGACTGATGAATTTCAGAAGGAAGATGGGGGTAGGGGTGGAGGGGGAGAGATTAACTGAGGAATTTATATGCATATATGCAGAGCCCCAGGACACAGACAATAGTGTGGCAAAGGCTCGGGAGGGGCAGGTGCAGGGAGGAGGGGGTCAATGCGGAAACACACACACACACACACACACACACACACACACACACACACACACACCAGGCATCTGTAATACTTTCACCAATAAAGATAAATTTAAAAAACAAACAAACAAAAAAACACACCCACTGAGAGGTCGTGGGTTTGATTCCGGGTCAGGGCACTTGCCTGGGTTTCAGGCTCAATCCCCAGTAGGAGGCGTTCAGGAGGCAGCTGACTGATGTTTTTCTCACCTAGATCTTCCTCCCTCTCCCTTGATTTCTCTCAAATCAATAAAAACATATTTTTATTTAAAAAAGAAAAGAAAACACAGGATGGGCAAAAGAAGGTTTATAGTTGTGAGTACATGAAACACAGAGTTCATTCGTATGTTATTTATTAATTATTGTATTATTTTTCATACAAACAACTGTAAACCTATTTTTTGCCACCTTCTATTGAAGTGGCTTAGCGGCCTTTTGAAGAAAATTGATCAAGGAATTAAATAGACTTAATGGTGTTATATAAATAAATACTTTCTGATCAATTTTATCTCCATTGCTAAAATTATGATTGGAATGTTTGTATTCATAAATGAGAAAGTGTCTGAGTAAATCAAAACAGGGTCCAAATGGGGAGTAGAAGGTCCACTGATCACTCAGTGACGCCTATAATATGGGGAAGAATTAAGGGACAGGGTCTCTCACCCCTCCCTACCAGCATCTCGACTGGACCTTTTGCTGGACCTGTATTCCTATATGTCTCCTTTCAGTAGGCTGTGTGGGCAATGACTCTTATCAATTCTTCTCTTCCTTTGAATGATTCTTGATGTTGTTCATAAAATAAATCTAATGTTGCCCGGCTGATGTGGCTCAGTGGATGAGCGTCACCCTATGAACCAGGAGATCATGGTTTGATCCCCGGTCAGGGCACATGCCGGGTTGCGGGCTTGATCCCCAATGTGGGGCATGCAGGAGGCAGCTGATCAATTATTCTCTCTCATCTATCTCTCTCTCCCTTTCCCTTCCTCTCTGAAATCAAGAATAATAATTTTTAAAAGTCTAATGTTTGAAGCCCTTACTCCCATTTGACTATTTTTAGGCTCAGATCCTAAGGTCTCTTAACCTTTGATTTCCATCTGTCTATCAAATCCCCAACCCTAATCAGAAGATGTTCATTCATGCTCATAATATATTCACAGCATGACCTTTGTTCCTGGCCTTCAACTCCCCACTCGCCCATTGTTCGATAAAGCCCATGGCTGGGTGGATAAGAACAAGAAATAGGATAAATAGAAACGGATGGGTGGTGAGAATACAAGAGAGTGAGCAGGAAGGAAACTTATAGCCATTTAAAAAAACCCAACACTAGAAAACAAGAAAAATGGGGGAAAATATTTGTTTACACATATTCTTTATTCACCATGAATTTTCCCTACCCTTTATATATTCTAAACAACGTACTTTGTTTTACTAAGATTACCATAATGAAAAATCTTTAAAAAAATGGGAATGGAAAATGTGGATTCTGTAACAATAAATAGTTACAGGCATAATGATAATGAGTCCCATTCTACTGCTTTTGTACTTTGTAGGTAAAGTAGAACTAAAGTTGTGCAGGTGTCTTTAGTTTATCCTTACCTTTTGTCAGTTTTTTGTCCTCTAGACATACTGTTTTCTGAACCCCAGAATCCACCACAGTGCCTGCCTCACACTTAAAAGAGGTCAACAATCATTTTTTAAAAAATCTTTTTTGTTTAGTATTTTGTGAACATCTTTCCATGTTAATATTCTTCTCAAAAGTGCTCAATATGACATTATATGAGTGACTGTAGCATAATGTCTTCAAATCCCTGATTCAGTTTGTCCTGCATTTTATTATGAACACAAGTAATATTGCCATGAAATTCTTGTAGTTTAATCTTTGTGCACATCTTTAATTACTATCTTGGGATATATTCCAAATATGGAATTGCTGAGCCCAGGAGTTAATGTGTGCTTTTTAAAAAAATATAAAATCAACAATCATTTAATAACTAAATGAATGAATGCTGTCCATATAACCTGAACATGACTGACCTTCATCATTTTATTTTTGGTGAGTATATTGTGAGTTTATATTTATCACACAGATTGGTAAACAAGAGACAATAGCTTCAAATTTAGGTGAGGACAAGACCCCTTTGCTTCTCAAGATCATTTCTTTATTTTTTTATTTTATTTTTTTCATTTCGTGTGCCTCAGGCATGAAACAGCTCTGGCTGCCGGCACAGGTATCAAGTTAGGATGAACTAAGGACTGTACATCTGCTTTGCCCCTGATTGCAGTAAGAGCAACACCACCAATCAGGTGTCTCCTTGCCCATTGCCAGGGGGTTCCTTTCTTTATTTTTATCTTGTTTAGAAGATAGTTTGAAAGTGCTTATTTGAAAGTAGTTTTCTCAATGTCTAGTGACTCAAAATGAAGAAGTCTCAGTTCAAGGCCTCTTTTTTTTTTTTTAAATTCTTACCCAAAAGGAAGTATGAGGTCAATTGCATAAACTTAAAGTACCACAGAGATGAAACTTAAAGCAGGAAGAAACTTGCCATCAATGCACTGGATGGGAACACGTGTGTCATGTGAACAGACATGACAAAAACAGCCCTCCTTAAATTACTTTTAGCAATAGTGATCACATTCATTTTAATTTTGCCGGAATATTTCAAGACACCCAAAGGTGAGTATATAATTATAACTTATCTTTTCTTTTTCTTAATTTTAAAAGTGATGACAGCCAATGGTTACAGGAAATGTCTTCAGTTCAGAGACATGCTGCATGGGCGGGAGCTCTCTATTTGAAAAGCTAATTCAGGGAGATTGCAACTTCAGTTGACTGTTCCATAGCACAGTAACCTTAGTCATAGCACTTAGTCATTGTAGCATACAATAATGAAATAAAAAAATGAAAAGACAGTTTAAAATTTGTGGCCAAGATTTCAAACATTCAGTTTACAGTAATCTCATCACATGATTTTGCTTTTTAAAACATTTCCCTTCAAAACCAGTTTTAAGTATGCTTTTACATTCTGAAATTATTATCGACAGAAAAGAACATTTATTATGTTAAAATGGCTTGACTTCCTTCCAACAGCTATTTCACACAATAACTTACTATTGCTTTTTGAAAAACGAATTAGCTATTTCAAAATATAATTAGAGTAAGATGGGTGCAAATTTAAGCAGGTATATGGGTGTGAATGTTTGTAACGAGAGAAAAATGGAACAAAATGAACTCTGTGGATATTTCAAAGAATTGGAATGATTGCTAAAACGGAGGATAGAAAATAATTAGGTGTAAATTTAAACTATTTTTATATGTCAGTAAAAGATTTGAAAATATGTTAATGTGACTATTTGGATGATAACTGTTCCCTAGCATTTAATAATAAAAAAAATAAAAAATATATAATATCATTAAAAGTTATATAAATTTGATTAAAATTAGGAAAAATCTTATAATTTGACTTGCTGCAGTAATTATTGTTGCATATACATAATGCTGAATAGACAGATAAAAATATTTTTTGGTAAATAAATACCACGGTTGTGCAAATTTGAACAATTGAATTGTTCAAATTTCTCTTGTTTTTCTGGCATTATGTTGCTTAGATTAGGCAACCACAGCGTACATATATATTTATTTCTCATTTTTTGGTATTCGTTTCAGGTGTACAGCACAGTGGTTAGACAATCATATACTTTACAAAGTGTTCCCCCCGATATTTCCAGTACCCACCTAGCACTATACTAGTACATAGTTATTAAATAGCACATATTTTTAATTCTTGATTTCACTGAATGCAAATATAAAAAGAATAGTTAGAATTGGACTAGAGATAACTATTTAAATGTTTAAGCGATTGTGGGCTGAGAGTAAGCTCATTTAATAATTATCTAAGGTAGGTCATATAGGCATATCTAGCACCTCCAAAAAATCAGGTTGGATCTAATGAAAACTAGGTAATCAGCCTAAAAGAGATTTAATAAACTACTTACTAATTATTGGTTAATGTTTATGTGAACTGGTAACTACCGACATTGATATAATTTTTGTTCTCCTAGTTTCTTAACCAATTATATCAGCTCCCAATACTACCTTTACTGCCTTCACATACTCTAAAGAGCCATTTCTCTTTTCCTGCTTCAAGAACAGCATAGATATTTCCCCGGACTCTTTGGGGTGATGAACTTATTTGGGAATTTTGTTTCAAAGGAACCTTCCTTAGGACCAATAAACAAAATGTTTGAAAAGCACCATCTTATCCTGATGTCATTTTCTGGTAGAAGGAATTTTGCACAGAGCCACCATAAACAAAAATTTTATTACTAGGCAAAATGTTTTACATATACAGTAGTATAAAAATCATGTATTAAAAATAGTGTAATAATAAGGTTTTATATCTTTTTTTTGTTAAAGGGACTGCTTTTTAAAATATATATATATATATATTTTATTGATTTTTTACAGAGAGGAAGGGAGAGGGATAGAGAGTTAGAAACATTGATCAGCTGCCTCCTGCACACCTCCTACTGGGGATGTGCCGGCAACCAAGGTACATGCCCTTGACTGGAATCAAACCTGGGACCTTTCAGTCTGCAGACTGACGCTCTATCCACTGAGCCAAACCAGTTGGGGCTAATGTTTTATATCTTATACTGGTTTATGGAAAACCAGGAATAGTTCCTATCACCTCATGTTACCCATAAGGGCACATAATTGTTTTTGCTTTTAAAAAACTTTATATTTTAGTATTTTTTAAATCACAATAATACTCAATGTTTTATGAAATGAGTTGACTTGCTAGCCAGTATAGTTCATAAAACAAACTCTCTGGTAAAATTATCTAGATAATAAGCTTAGAGTGTTCCATTAGTGCTAAAATTAACCTTGAGCTCTTTCTGTATAGTCTCACCCTCCCTATCAGTTACTTGTGTCTTTTTTCCCACTTTTTCTTATGTCCTATTCACTTTAATTTCTAAGACAAATATTATAAATGATTTTTACTTATAAATTATTCACTGATACCCTGTCTTCGACACGTCAAATGAATTAAAAAAGAATCTTAATGAGGAATAAGTATTCACGAGGCTTAATAGATTTGATTTGAAAATAACAAACCGTCCAAAGGCCTATGTTAAAAATAGAGAACTGTATTTGATCATTTTTCATCAAGAATGTATCTGAGTCTCTGAGTAATCATTACTCGGAATATTCAATTATCATAGTTATACAGTAGAAGCTATTTATTCTAACTTCACCAAAGGAGAGGAACTTTAACGGTGTCTGAGAGTTTTAATGAGTTTGCATTGGCAGGAGAGCTTATTCTAATACTTGCAGCTTACTTGAAAAACAGCTTATGCGAAGATTTGGTAGCTAATATAATGTTTTGAAAGGCTTATATTGCATGGAGATAATAGAGATATAAAAAGGAGTGGATATATTTTGATTCAGAGCTTCTTGCAATTAAGGGAGCTAGGTTTCCCTGAACAATAAACTTAATCAATCTACTTTTGTTGGACAATGTTTATAAGAGAGTGAGACCTGGTTAACTCATATAAACCTCAGTGATCTTTTATTTTTTCATTCTTTCACTTAAGAATACTATCTACCTGTACTAGAAACCCAGGGCTACGAAAATGAAAGGCAGGTCTTCCTTCAAGGAGTTTTCAGTCGGGAAGACTGACTGGTAAATAATTAAATACGATACTGCAATTACTGGATAGCAACGTAAAACGGCTCAACATGAACGCAGTAAAAGTGGCCTCTGGGCCTGTCTGGGGAGAAGATGTTTCTTCCATTTTTGTTGCCATGGGAAATAACTCCCAGATTTCAAATGATCACCCAATATTTCTCCTTACCTGCTTGCAGAAGCACTTTCTAAGAGAAGCAATTATTATTGATTTTCAAATAAAATGTACTCATATAAATATCTCCGAAATTCTTGAAACCAGAGGTAGTAATGAGTTACGCAAGTATATTCCTGATGATTTGTGACAGTGTGGGACAGGAATAGTGCAGACGAAAACACCTCAAACCTAATTTTATCTAGCTGTTTTGACTTCCTCACTAACTTTTAAGAGCCAAACTGACATAAACTATGTTTGCTAGCTTTAATTTCCTCTTCCTTTTCACACTTTCTGATGGAAATAGTGGTATAATGAGCAGTGGAGTTGCAGAAAACAAAAGATAAAGGAACTTCAAATACTTAATGAACTCAAGGCTAAGTCCTGAAGCATCTGAGCATATGTACTACATATTACTTATGTCTGGGGTATAAAAAAAGTGTTAATTAAGGCTACCCACCATGAATTTGCCTGAAAGTGTTATCCCACTTCTCAAAAACGGGCTCTTTAATTTCTTCTTATTGTCTGGCTTATGAAAAATTTAATCGTAACTGCCAATAAGGTTTGGGATATAGTTTTGTGACTATTTAAATTAAAAAAAATTAACAAATAGTTATACATGTGCCAGGTAGTATACCAAGTACTTTTACATAAAATGTCTCATTTCAAGTCATTCAATACTTAAGCTCATTCACAATGAAGCATCTTTCTCAAGAGACTATTCTGAAAATCTTCAGAAAGAAGGAATAGAACTTGATGGGTAATTTTACTTTGTTGTGAGATTTTACTTCTTCCTGAATTTTATGAATCCTTATCATTTTTAAATGGCTACTAATGGACACTATATTTTTCCATATATATTTTAGACAATAAGTATTGGCACAAAAAAAAAATACTGCCAAATATAATGCTTTTTCACTGGTATGGGAGAATTGGCCTCATTGTCTCATCTATTAGGTTACAATACCAACAACCCTTGCTTGGGATGGTTTCTAACTGCTTGCCTCATTGAATTGAGGGATAAATGCTCTCTCTGTGTATTTCTTTTTTTTTTTTAAATAGAAAAATATGACTTTCTCTAAAACACGAATATGGTAATATATCTCCCCCTTGCACTGCTCTGTTTCTTTTCTTCATAGACCTGTCACCTATATAATTTACTTATTTATTATATATATTTTTTGTTGTCTGATTTCTCTAAATAGAATGTAAACTCCATGAAAATGAGGTTTCTGCCTGTTTTGTTCATATTTCAAGCACTTAGGACAGTATTTGTTGATTGAGTGAGCTTTCCGAGTCATATTGTAAAGCAGCTAAAAAGCGAACATTCTTGAAGGAAGCATTTCTCATCTGATTCTCACAACCATTTTTGATTTAGGCAGGCCAGGCATTACTATCCTCTTACCTGTTTGAAACACTAAATGTCATCACAAATCTAGAACTTTTAGATTGTGACATTTATTTCACGGAATTTTTTTTACTTAAAAATAATGTGTCAAAACAACAAATGAACAAACAAAACTGATAGAGACACAGCAGTATGGTGGTTACCAGAGAGAAATGGGAGTGGAGGGTTGCAAAGGGTAAAGAGGGTCAAACATATGGTGATGGAAGGAGACTGACTTTGGGTGGTAAACACACAATGCAATATACAGATGATGTATCATAGAACTGTACACTTGAAACATATATAATTTTATTGACCAATGTCATCCCAATAAATTTAATTCAAAATGATATGTGTCCCTTTACCCTGAGTCATTTTTCTACCATTTTTTTCCTCCCACGGAGAATTTCACAATGTGTTTATGTCCCTTGTTTTGACAGGTAAAA